AACGACGGCGCCGGGCAGCGTCACGGGGCGTGACGGGCTATGCGTGACGCCCCGTGACGATGACGCCCACTGGCCCGTATTTCTCTGCCAGCTCTGCCGCTAGCCGTGACGCCATATGTGCGTCACAGACGGTCTTCTGCGCGTTGTGTGATGTTTTTACAGGGACAGTTATGTATCGGAATGAAAGGGGCTGGATGTGTGATCATTGATCAGGGGTGAAGGATTTAAGTGTATGAGTCATTTTGACGCTAGCTGCAAGTTAGCTACAAGCTAGTACGCTACCATGAGCTCACGTCTCACTGTGGTGCATCTTTTGGATGTTTTGGGCTCTTGGTGCTTCGTCAGTTTGTTCATATATTCTCACAAATGTGCGGTTGGTCGGGGTCCTACTCTTTTCTCTCTCTATGGGCCATATTCAGTCTGTTGACTGACCACCATTCCGTACCATCACTCGTTTGACTCTGACAGGCCCCGAGGGACGGAGTGGACCGGATCGCCGTCTGGCAGCGGGCCAGTGGTGACCTGTCCTCCGTCCTATCCGCTCAGCTCTCTCCTTCTCCTACGATAGCCTGGGTATCGCAATATACGCTGGTGGTCAGGAATTGCTTCTCGTAGCTGTTGCGTACCTATGTTGAATTAGTTTTGCATGTGGTTACCACACAACTGAATGAATAAAAATTTGCTGACGTCATGAGGTGGTGCCCTTTCCGATGTCGCGAATTATTGCCAGACCTCAGGCGGTGTTTCATTTTAGGTTGACCGAGCTGTCGTGAGTTTGTTTTTAGATGGCGGATGTCTCCTCGTTGACCCTATCAGATTACCGAAGCAGCTGACAGCCAGGCTGTTTTATGATTGTGCCGACAGCTGCAATCGGGATTCATGGGAATATATCATTTGGCTGCCTGTGACGTTAATTCTGACATGACGCAGTAACCGTGCTATTCCAACGGATTGCTATGGCAATTTGTAACTTAGGCTGATTAAATACCATTCATAGCTATATTTACCTTTGCTCCTCTGCGGTTATCTTCAATCATCTGACTTAACTTCCTACAGTCATTAATCATAGTTCCTAAGTAATCCTAAATATTGGATATTTATATCTCGTGCTCTGTATCCTGTGATAATGATAGTGGTGTAATGTTCGCTTAGAATAGAGAACGGCACTCTAAATATAACTCGGTTTCTGATCTTGTCTGGGTCTCGAATTCGTTGGTCATCCCCCCCCACACACACACACACTATCCCAGTTGAAGAGCTCCAGCCATCAGCGGCGCCCTCCTTGACTCTTTTATAGCTGGATCTGCACCTCCTTTGACTCCTCTGCGAACTTTGATTCATCGCGGCAGGAGACGATGACACGTCCGGAATTACAGCTATTATTGTCATACATCGGGACGGGTCGCAGCGTGGTGCCCAATACCATCAATACCATAGTGGGAGGGAGGTGGTTGTGATTCTTTACTTAGCTTTGTGTATTCTTGATATATTATTAGAAGAAGCAAGTACCTATGTAATTCATTGCCAAAGGCTCAGAAACGCTAGAAATCTGTGAAACAATGTAAGACATGCCGATGGAAACAGGGTGTTGAATGTACCTGGCTGCTCTGATTTACTTTTTGTAACAGGCAGGATTTTACCAACAAATACCGTAAGCAGACAGGCTGTAATACGTTCCAGTGCTTTTCAGTGATCAGTGTGATTCCTATTCTGCGTTCATGCGTAACGCAATGGCACTCACCGGTGCACTAGTGCCTATTCGGCCACTACTATGAACGTCAAACCCCTTGAGACCCCACTTTTTTGCGATAGTTTTTAAATGCGTCAACTTTCGTTGATAATATTCTGGCAATGTATGTTTCAGAACCTGCCGAAACTTTTATTACTAAGGTATTTTGACGCCAAACGATTATGGAAGGTACTTCTCATTCACTCGTAATGTTAAGGTCAATTCAGGCCCGGGCAGAGGCTTGCGCTCGGCCACACTCGAGCCCCGCCACCAGCGCCATCTGCTCTAAATGCCATCTACCAGCGCCCGCTACCGCTACCAGCTACCGCCCACCATCAAGCCTGAATGGAGCGAGAGACGCGAGTGACCGGTCGCCGGGCAAGGAGCGCCGGAGGGGTAGGGCGGAGCTTAGCGCTGACGTCATTACGTGGCTCCGCCCCATGAGCGCGTAGCCTCTACCCAAACAGCAGATTCGTTCCGTGAAATTTAACATTACGAGTGAATGAGAAGTACCTTTAATAATCGTTTGGCGTCAAAATACCTTAGTAATAAAAGTTTCGGCAGGATCTGAAACACACATTGCCAGAATATTGTCAACGAGAGTTGACGCATTTAAAAATTATCGCAAAAAAGTGGGGTCTCAAGGGGTTTGACGTCCATAGTAGACACGGTCGGGCTTTGGGCGAGGTGCCAACTCTGCGCTCCTCTCCCTCACTGAGGGCCATGTCTGGGTGAGACGTTCTACCGCCGACGACCGACCGACCGACCGACCGACCGTCGACCGCAAGAGCGAGGGCTTCCCGGCGGTCGGCTCCACCGGAGGTCACTATTTCGGTCCGACGACACACTTCGGGGGCTCGTGTCGGCCCGGTGTATCTCCCAGGCGGACGAATTTCGAGCTGGTCCATGTGTAATAATGTATGATAGTTAGGTGGCGTTGGATGATCCGTTAGTGTGTAAGAAGAATGTGGCGTGGCGTGGCTCGTCGATTGGTGTTTATGATTTGGCCCGGTCAGGTCCTCACGTGCTCTACTTGGCTCGACTAGTGTCATTCGTCCTCAGTTGGACCGCAGCCCGGCTTCACTGAATGTGGGGAGGGAACGTCCATTCAGTAGATATTCCTCCCGGTCCTTCCTCCGTAGTTTGATAGCAGATGTCTGCCAGTAGTATCATGGATTTCTAATATGAATTGCGAGGTGTTGAAGCGATGTATTCATCAGTTATTCTAGTGATCACATAAATCTTCATATTGGCTTTGAAGCGGCTATTCATGTCATTCTCGAATCCAGCCTTCCAGCAGGCAGCCCATTTCCTAGTTCCCAGTACCGTCGCGATCCTGAGCCCCAGCTGCCTCCCCGATCGAGTCTGCTCGACTCGACTCGAGCCCGGTCTCTAGCCGCTGTCAATAAGCGGGGGTGCCGACACGGAGACAGACATTTGGCACGTGTTGACTTGGCATGTCGCTGTCACTGGCCGACCGCCTGTCGCGCGCGTCCCCACTGCTCGGAGCCGTGACTGGCGCAGCGGGCGCAAAAACGACGCACGCCAGACAGAAATGGTGCGTGTATAGTTTTCTGTGAATGGGGGATGTGTGGTGGCTAACCACGAAAACCACGGAAACCAGTTGGCGAAAGCTGCTATTGCGTGCATGTGTCGTGTAGTCCAGGTCCTACCAATAAGCTCGGTATTGTCACGTTAGCCCATTGCTTGCCCTACATTGGGCGAGACCAATACTTTTCGGAAAGTGACGCCCGTGAATCGTGATTGCGCATTATGAGTGTTTGCTGGTTTCATTTATTCCTGGAAAACATGCACTGATGCCTGGATGCTCTGGCGACTTGACTGCAGTGTCAGTGACACAGAGATGGCAGAGTTCCGCCTCAACCCCGGAACTCCCCCCTGTGGGCCGGCCACCGCTATTAGACGGTGTCGGGCCGGACATTAGCGCCCAGCGCCGGTCCACACCACCTAAGTAACTTTTTCTGCTGGTTCGCAATGGACTCACGCGGCGCAGTGAGACTGTCTATGTCCACTGGACGTCCCACAGAAACGCTCAATTCGTACATTCGCTGAGCACTTCAAACTTAACTTCTTTCTTCTCGATGTGAGAAGTAAGCACCTTCAGTGAAAATGTTGGAAGTTGGAACATGCAAGCTGCTGAAATGTATGATTGATTTTATGTGCAACGAGTTGCAAATGAACGCGTGTTGAGCACAGGAGCAGTGAACTGGCTGTTGCGGACCAAGCGACGACGGAAAGCTTCATTCCCCTGTCCTGATTGCTTTTTTGATTCAGCTTGCGTCAGCATGCTTCGTCGGTTCACATGTTGAATGTTACGCTGAATTTTGAAAACTTGTGTTGAATGTTGAATGCAACTTAATGCATTCATGCTCTTTAGGGTATTTTGCATGAATACGTTGCCTGTGCTTATGGATACGAAACACCCAACAATCATACAACACCGCAAAGTTGGGGTTTACTTTAGCCGGAGCCACACGACCTCGCTCATGTCCAACCTTTGGTACTTACGCTGTCCGGTGTGCACTGTGCAGTTACCCCCCCCCCCCCTACTTCGTGTCGGTGTCATTGTACCCGGGACACTGGATCGGCCAGTGCTGTAGGGGCGGTACTGAGTCTATAGAGCCGTGCTGTGGTACTGTTCCATCCATACACCTACCTTTCGTGGGACGTTACTGTCACGTGCCCGAGGTTGGGAAGGGTGGGGTCGAACATAGTGGCATCAGGGGTCAAAGCGGTGATGGCGAATGCTGTTGAAGTTGGTAGCGGATAGAATCTTTATCTCGCAGTCGTTCTCTAACAGTTGGCTGCCTTTTCGTACCACCTTAGGCATTTAAAGCATTTTACTGAAGACATTTTTAATTAGCTGATGTGATATCAATCATGCACCTATATTCAATAGTTATCGCAGAAAACCTGCAGCACTGAAAACAGCTATTATAGCTGTGTGTTTAGTGCTACCTACTTTTTGTGTCTTTTTTGTTCTTTTGTATGTAATTACTTAGCCTGTTCAATGTTCATTGATGAGTTATTACGGCTGGTGTAACGAACTTTTTGTCACGGCATCAGTAATATTATGAAGAGGTCCCACACTACCTGAAGTTCCGACACCGTACTACAAAACACTCCAGTAATGGCACTGTAGCACGACACATGCCTTCATGTAAGCTACAAGACAAATGGTCGCCTTCCCCTTCATTCATCTCTGCCCAGTGCCCACCCCTCTGATCGCCTCCCTCCTCTGCCGTTACAGCCGGGTCTGGAGTACGATGAGCGGCTTCAGAAGCTCGAGTCGGACAAGTCGTCCCTGCAGCTTCAGGTGTCCGTCCTCACCGAGCAGATTGACGCGCAGACGGAGAAAATCTCCGAACTCGAGGACCAGCTCCGCACCCGGCAAATGCTGCTCGGAAAGGCAGAGGACCGACTGCAGAAGGTATGTTAAAACGCTGAAAAGGTCCGAGTTGCTGGTTTGCTTCTGCTTTGAGGATTTTGTGAACGCATATGTGCTCCCTCGCGTTTCTAGTTACCTTGCGTTTCTCCCTTGCATTCCTCGTGGCTTCAGTACTGTCAACCTCAACCAGCCCCTCACCATTGGCTTGCGGTCCGTTTTTTCTTCCGTTTTTTTCCTCTTGGCTGACTGGTATTGACAGCCTGCGTGCTGTCTGTAGCGCCCATATTCAGCCGTGGACCGGTGTTTTCACCACCGGGGTCGTCGTTCTGTGGGGGTCGCGGCACAGTCAATAGCGGCCGGTTATCAGTCGACTATCTCCGACACACGACCGTCCGTCGGTCACGCCGCGTCGGCCGGCCGGACCAGCATAGCACAACAGGCGGACTGCGGGGGTTGTGTTACACGTGTAATGTGCCGGGGGATTGTAATGGTAATTTGATATGGTATTGGTTATGCGCACTGTGCCTACTGCTGACGTATGGAATGTGCGTTTAGATAATGTGTTCGTTAGGCGGCACGGGCGGACATCGATAGCAGCGCCTCTATCGGTCACTAGGGAAAGCTGGGCTGTAGGCGACGAAATACCGGCTGAGTTGTCACACGTTGAATAGGTTTATAGACATCCGTCTTGTGAAAAAGTTGAACTTTTGCCTTCAATATTTCTACAGGCAATTTTAGAAAAGTTTTCACATAGATTACAAAACCGTTTAGATTATTGTATTCACGTCAAGCCTTTCCTGTTGTTCTTGATGATGCGGGAACTATTTCTAATCAGTGTTTCTAGCTTAGTAAAAGAAGATGTTGTGCAAACGATGAAAAAAGCATAGATGGAAGATTTTAAATGCAATTTTCTCTAGCAATTAATGGTAAATTATCTACAGATCAAGGAAAAGGTGCATGCTAACTGATAATTTAAAGTTCTTGGGGCCAGTTGTTTTCCTCTTTTCTTACGTCGCCCCAATGGCCGCGAATACACTTGTGATAACCGTAGTTACGTGACCCGCCGACAGGTGGGACCGGTGGCGTTCGCCCTGCCCGCCACCGGCAGTGCGTGCTCGCTTGCTGTGGCGGGTCACTGTAACGTTGGTTTAGCAGAAACCGTAGTTACGTGACCCGCCGACAGGTGGGACCGGTGGCGTTCGCCCTGCCCGCCACCGGCAGTGCGTGCTCGCTTTCGTTAGTGGAATTGTGTGGACTAGATATGTCGGGCCCGGTGGTGGGCTGATGGGTTTGTGCAGGGAGTTCAGAGGCCGAGAGCGGACGTGCTATGTATTGCTGTTTTGTTTACTTGTTTAATACATGCTGTGGCGGGTCACTGTAACGTTGGTTTAGCAGAAACGCCTATCGTACAACCAACTCGCGTTTCGGCGGCGCCAGAATCACACCCGAAGAAGACTTGAAACTCAATTTTCCAATAGCTATCACTCACCGCCAAAGACCGCCTTCGGCACACGTCTACATTCCATTTCTCTCTACCGGTCGTGTGCGAGCCAAAGTGGTAGATGTGACAGTATTGGAAACAATGCGGCGTCTCCGGCAGACACAGTGCCGGCCGTTATCGCTCCCCAGCGTGTTGTTGTTGGCGCGGCGGGAACGCCGCACAGTGTTTCTGCTCGGTGTCTGGTGAGCCCGACGGTGTCTGCGCTGGAGGATTCCTGAGCCACTGCTGCCGGTGATACGAGCAGAGCTGGCGGGGTCAATGCCTGGTGGTGGGAGGCTGGCTGGGCTCGGAAAGAGATGATTTGGTGGTGGATGGTGGTTGTGGGTTTGTTTTGGTAGCTGTGTTTGTTTGTCTGGTTTGGTCTTTGATGTCAATGGACTCCTGACTGAGAAGGAATTCACTTATTTCTTATCCGCCCTTTCCTCCCTTAATGTTTCATAACAATGACGCCTATCCGACCAGCCTTAGCTAGATATCGATCAGATCTACTTCCGTCGTACCGACTCGGTAATTTACATCTGTCTCCAAATTGGCATAGATACCTGTTGATGCGATCCAGCCGACGTCATAACGTTGATGTCTACGTCACTTGGTGCTGGCATCAATGCCGGTGAAACGTCAACCCTGACTTTCACCGAGGAATCTGACCCAGATCGTGTCCCGTCATTCCCGCCCCGCATGTTATACATCGAACGGTGTTTGATTGGGAGATACACAAACTGTTTCAGCTGATTCACTCCAGCAATGGCAAAGGTCTTGACGCGACTTTTGACATAAGAATCTGCTCCAAACTGTCATTGAAACGTTCGAATGCTGATTCTTTGTTTTTGACCTAGCGTTGACGCGTGCTTCGCACATTTTGTTAAGCTCTGTTTTGTGTCTCGCTCTTGAACACCGCTCAACGCTGTGCCTTCTAACAACAGTCTCCCAACACAGTAGTCTCCCACGCTGGGCTGTGCATAGGCCTAACCCTACCAAACCGGGCGTCTTATCCCGACAGGACCTGGCACTACAGCAGGAGCTGCTGCAGCGCTCTTCGTTCGAGACGCAGAAGCTGGAGGTGATGAACAAAATGTCGAACCTGACGCTGCAACAGAAGACGCTGGAGCGGGAGAACATCGAGCTGCGGAACCGGTTGCGTCGAGCTGAGATGGCCAACAGACTGCCCGCCAGCCCGGTGAGTGGTCGTTTTAGCTCACTTTTCAGACCTTATGATCCGTAAGATCCGTAAGTTCATGTATTTCGGTGTGAGGTTAATCGATAAAATGTGCATAGTTGTACCAGGGGCCAACGCGTTCAGATGATAGAAACGGTGATGTAAGTGGTGCAAATCTGATTCTGTCTTACCATTTCGGTTTTTATGTCTGAGTGGTTGCTGGAACATGCATGGTTGTAAAATTGCGACATGAGAGCTCGACACACGACTCTCAATTTTTTTTTCGCTGCGGTTGTATGCAGTGGCGGATCCAGGGGGGGGGGGGCAAAATGGGCATTTGCCCCCCCCCCTCCAAACGGCATAATTTTAACATTACGCCTATGGACGATGCATGGAAAGAATCGATAAATTGTTATGGTTTGCCCCCCCCCCCCCCAAACTCTGAGCTGGATCCGCCTCTGGTTGTATGCCTCCATGTTGGACTTTTGCTACTTGATAGAAGTACACAATTCTGTCAAATTCCACCAGGGAACTGTCTCTGTTTAAATCCTGGTCTTGTTTCTCTCCAACTTCCGTTTGTGAATGTGGTGCGGGACGTCTCCTCACAGTCTATTTTTATCCCCTCGGTCCCGGGGCGGTATGACGTCACTAAGTCTCGTGTCTGACGTCATTGTGTGACGTTTAAGAGCGAGGCGGAGCGGAGCCGCATACGGGAGAAGCCTCCGACGGTCCCTCGTGGAGGAGCGTTCCCGGCAGCCACATCCACCCCGAACCATAGCCTGGTGGACTCGCCGCAGCGGGCCAATGTGAGAGAGGGAACGGCGTGGAAACGGGTGGGATTTGTAAAGTACAGATTGTGAGGAACCTTGCACGCATTGTTAAATGATTTTCAGTGTTCGCTGTAAAGTCCCTTGAAGCAAATAGAGCATCGTACAACATTTGCATTCATAATAGCGTCTTGTTCGAACAATTGGCATGCAATGTATGACGTAGCTAGCGTTGGGTGAATCAGTAATGGGACCTCAGTTCAATATACAGCAGCCGCACCGGCTCAGTATCGCTACAGCGTGCGATGCGTCTTCTTTTCCCTGCGGACATCTGTTTGCGATTGCTGCGGTAACCATCTGGCTGCTTCCGCCACTCGCTGAAAGGAATCAATAACTCACGCGGATCGACGAAATGATGAGATGCATTAGGCGGTGATCCTGATTGAATAATGTGTTTGCACGCCTCCCCAGTCGTCTGCGAGCACCACAGATGGTAGTCGGTACACCTCAGCTCTGGACTCGCCGGCCTCCAACAACACTGCCACCTATCGGGAGGGATCGTTACCAAAGGTACGGGACTCGAACGGCCAGGTGCTGTGTTGTGTGGAGCTTTGCCGTTGGTTGAGCTGCGCTGCAAATTATTTTCGATTGTTCGGTACACATTATGATCAATATACCAGTGGAAATTGAATAGAAAATATAATGAGGCATGCTCCCGCTACAATTAAGGAGATATTTAACATTGTCGTACCTTTTGAAGTTGACCTCATCCTGGATGTTTCCCTATAAAAGTTTCAAGATGTGGCGCTTTCCAAAATCTTCGAATTTCTCATAGCGTTTCTAAACCCAGCCCTCACACGCTTGCGCCTGGTTACCTGACCACGCACCCTGCTTTTCCAGACGCCGCCGTCGTCCCACCGGCGGCGCGTGGAGTCGCTGGGCGGCACGCTGCCGCGCGTCTCCAGCGCCGGCCCGTCCTCCGCTGGCGGCGGCGGCGCGCATGGTGACGGCCAGCGACGCGCGGTCGCCTTCGGTAAACAGTCCTCGGCCGGACGGCGCCGGATCTGGGGCCGGGTGACGGGAAAGTTTAGCCGATCGGAGCCCAATCTAGGTGACGGAGGCCGCCCGCCGGCCCGCCCGCTCTCTGTCTGCCGTGACTACTGACCACTGCGCATGCGCTAGACGCTCCTGGGTCGCCGACGGGCTTCTGCAGCGAGAGTGGTTTGTGGGGCTTTAAAAAGGTAGCTTGAAAAATGGGCTTAAAGTGGAAGGCGTGACGTGCGGGATGCTCCTAAAGTACCTCAGCGACGTGTCTCTGGTTTTCGAGGGAGTGGTTTTGAGTAGTTGTTTTGCCTGGGTTTGTAAGATGTTTTGTGCTTAAGGGTGCCCACCAAAATTGACCCAGTTTTGACATAGTTTGAAAGTGAGATATAGTCGTCCTTTTTAGCGTAGTCGATTGGGTGCTCGGGTAAAGACGAGCGGGTCCATTTTGCCATTCGGGATTTCTTTCTAACGTTTACTAAGTAAGCCATAATGGGAACGAACCGCGGCCTAGAATAGCGGTTGCTTGGCAAGCTATGTGCCAAGAATCAGCTTTTTTTGGGAATAGTTCAGAAATGGTGGGACTAATGGCTGCGGCAAGGTTAGTCATTATGTGCCCTTTCTGAAAAGTGACTTAGCCTAGTGGAATTATTTACCCTGCGTTGTCATATGCACTCTTCGCATTGTGCTGGTAGCTTATAGTGTAAGCACGAATTTCTGTTGCTTGGTCAGTTTTTATCGGAAGCCTTGCATGTATTCTTTGTGGCTATGGAGTTCTGTATGCTTTGTTTGACTAACGTTTCTTTCTGTTGCTGTTTTATGTGATCTTTACCACGGCACGATTGCCAGACACTTTTCTGGAATGAACGCTTTCATTTCTTGTTCTTTGTGCATTTCATGCATTTATGAATTGACAACCGTTTGGTTGCGAGTTTCCTTATATGTCGTGCTTCCAACGTTTGTGTTTCGCTCTTTGCTGTAGTTTATTTGCTGTAATGTTCGTCTTGTTCAAAGTTCTTCTTTTGTCTATTAGTTTTATTTAGCCAGATATGTGCACATTAAAAGCTCAATTATTCAACATGCCGACTTTAGGCTCATTTGTTTGTCTGCTGTCATGCTGTGTGTTTCGATGTTTGTGCTTTTTTGCGTAGTGTCTGTGTACGTGTGTGTGTTTGTCTTTTTGCGCTCGCTTGTGCTTCTTCGTTTCCACTGTGCATTTATGTGAGTGTTGTCGTGTCGAACCCTGTCTAAAAGCGGCCTCATGACTTGCCGTCCTTTTTGTATCTGCATCTTATCCTACCTCACATCACCTCTGCCTGCTAACCGTGCGTCTGTTGTGTTGTGCAGCCGATACCGATCAGACCAGTGGTCACGGAACGGCAGAAGACGGGGTCTCCGGTCCGCCCTCGCCCTCCGCGCAGCCCAAAAACAAGGGCTTCAAGAAGCTGTTCGGCAGGTTAGTGACCGGGGATTTACGAGCTGGTGAGTTAGGTGTACTATATGGGGACCTGCAGTCATTAAGGCAGCTTGTGTAGAATTTGTCGCTGGCGATTCTGTATTGTGGCTTTCTTGATCAATGACTCGCCTCCGATCCGATTCTGAAATTTGCTTCGAAGCTTTAAATAATATAGGCATGTTGCCATGGTAATGGTGTCTTTTATGTTTCACCCTAGTTTCTGTTTACCCTTCGACGTTAACAGCCGCCGTCGCTTTCCTTCAGGATGAAGCGCAGCAACTCTGGCAGTCTGGAGGCGGACATCCCGGACGGTGGAGAGTTCCGACGCGGTGGAACCCGCGCAACTGCCGGTCCGCGGCTCGGCTGGAGCGGCGAGAAGAGTCGCGAGGATGAGTGAGTGAGGGGGAATGCAAAGAAGAAGGGGTTGAGCGCAGAGAACTGGGGATAGAACCGGCGAGTGGTTCACGTGGCTCGTGCTTATATGTTGAAGCGTGTTGTGTTACATGAAGTGTTCGTGTTTTAGTCAGCTGTGGTAGTTTTCTAATATGCAGACTGGTAATTTTTATGCAAGGACTACATGCAATGTGCATTAAATGATATGTAAGGAGCCGATTCTGCTATGCGCGATCTACATTGACCTCGCTCTGCCCACCTCCATCCGTTCTACCACTCCTCCCCCCTGCCCTCAGCCGCCTGTGGCGCCATGAGATGGGCCTCAGGCCGACTACTGACCGCTCCCTCCCCTCCCCCTCAGCCGCCTGTGGCGTCCCCTCTCCGAGTGGGACACGGACACTGTGGTGGCCTGGTTCCATGAGATGAGTATCAGGCCGACCACTGACCGCCCCCTCTCCCCTCAGCCGCCTGTGGCGTCCCCTGTCCGAGTGGGACACGGACACGGTGGTGGCCTGGTTCCACGAGATGGGCCTCAGCGCCTACACGGCAGAGGCTCGTCGCTGGGTCCGCTCCGGTAGTCACCTGCTGCGGGCCACTCCCGCCGAACTGGAGAAGGAACTTGGCCTGAAGGTGAGAAATGGGAGAGTAGGTAGGAAGTTTGAAATGTGTGAGGTTTGAAAGCAGTTCTGGTCCTTTGTAATCTGATACAACTTTTCAGTTTGACTTTGGCTGATGATGTGACAGCTAATTGAGCAATTGACGATATAGCTGGCTAGTCGCGGTACATATTATAATAACCTACTTTCACCATTGTATTATCACATTTGATCTGGTAAAGTAGATGAGCCCTGAAAGCGAGTTTTACCCACAACGGCCTAATTGGCCTCAAATAGTTAAACGTAGCAACGCCCTCTACAATTCTGTCAGTGCCATTACCTTCTCCACCCCGCCCTCAGCACCCTCTGCACCGCAAGAAGGTGGTGCTGGCGCTGCGAGCGGCCGGCTCCTCGGCCGACGACCCGCCCGGCCACATCGACCACAACTTTGTGATGCGCTGGCTGGACGACGTTGGGCTGCCGCAGTACAAGGACGCCTTCCTGGAGGCCCGCGTGGACGGACGGGTGCTGAATCAGCTCACATTGGATGACCTGCACACGCTGAAAGTCACCAACCTGCTGCATGCACTCAGCCTCAAACGGGGTATTCAGGTGAGCAGCGGGGAGGGAGGAACGGATTATAGAGGAAAAGATTAAATGAAAAGGAAAAAGATGAGAGAGGGATGGAGTTGATAAGATGAGGGATGAGACTAGAGAATATGACCCCAGAGATGTGGGCGCCGGTGACAGTAGTCCGGGCGCCCCCCCCCCCTCCTCCAAAAAAAAAAAAAAAACAATTCATCATCATCACCCCAGAGCTGTCTTGTTTGTATTGTCTAATGCTGGACACAAATTTTATCGCCAACCCTGTTCATTGTCCATGGAAATTTTCTATTCTTGTCTTACCCTCCACGCAGGTTTTGCGGAGTAACGGGTTCTCTCCGGCGTGTCTGCGGCGCCGCTCCACCCCGGACGAGCCGCGCCAGCCGGCGCCACACGAGGTGGCGCTCTGGACCAACCACCGGGTCATGGAGTGGCTCAGAGAGGTCGACCTGGCAGAGTACGCGCCCAACATGCGCGGATCAGGTCAGTCTGGGGGTTCGACGGTGGTCAGGTGTGTGCGAGAGGGGGCAGTGGGAACTGGGAGAGAAGCTCTTCAATCTTTAAGAGACAAGCTGCTGAGCTATAACGAATGCATTGTTCACCGCCTCCCACTTTTCCATAGTTTTGGCACTCGTCCACTAGAGGCGTTGGCTCTGCGAGCGGCGTAAATCTCGTCAGCTCAGTCTGAACACCATTACTTTCAGTGCGATATGTTGTGTTTATCGCTTTTTAACCCGCTTTGTGTTCGGTTTCGTGTTGACGCTCAAGCTTATCGACCTGACTATCTTACAGCCGGCTCTGTCCCGTTGGTGTATTCCGCTGTGCCCTGATGCCGGTACTGACCACTCCCTCCATACTGTCCCCAGGTGTGCACGGCGCTCTACTGGTGCACGAGCCGCGGTTCACCGGCGAACTGATGGCCTCAGTGCTCTCGATACCGGCGAGTAAGTCGCTGCTGCGGCGGCACCTCTTCACCAGGTTCAACGAGCTGGTCGGCGCCGACATCCTGCGAGAGAAGCGGGACGTCGAGGATAACCAGAGCATACCGCCGCTCCGACCCGACTCCAAAGTCAAGGTGGGTGCCTACTGTCTCGGAGGACAATTGGGACGGGTCTGTGTCCTGTTGGTACTCTGGGCTGACGTGATCGATAAAATAACGAGTAGAGATTTTTGTATTTGCGTTGAAAGTCATGAACTGAAATTACTCAACTGTAGGAAGGTACTTGCATCACACTTGAAATTGCGACCATACTATGTGGCTTGCTTGTCGTTTCGTTTTTTCGAACTTCGTTTTTTTAGGACTTCGTTTTTGCGAAGTCCTGAGCTTTGAGAAGGTCTCTTTTGACATGTCAATTTGTCTCTCTGTGACCGACAGCTGCACAAGCGCGGTCAGTTTACGCTGAAGCGCCGGAAGGGGAAGGAGCAGCTGGAGGCGGAAGACTTCCTGTGTCCGCTGGATACACAGTCGTCACCACTGCCCTCGCCAGAGGTATCCACCAACCAGGTAGGAGCAGAAACAACGCGTGGTGCGCGGGCCAATTACTGAGGGGAGGGCTGGTGAATAATGGTGGAGGAATGCGATGTATGATTGTATTGGTGGATAGTGCTTTTTTTAGAATGAATTGAATAGAATATAGCTCTGATTGGGAGTTAAGGCACTTGAAACAATCGTGAACATATTTAGTTTTGCTTTGCTGCTATAAGATATTTTAAGTTTTTTTCCCTTCTTGCTGTAAAATCCTCAATGTTTCAATAAATCAATCTCTAGGCATGTGAAATACGTCTCATATTTTTTTTTTTTAACTTAGGGTGCTCATGCTCATGGGACGGTGACTATTGAAACACTATGTATTCTTATGGCGGTCAGTGGGCTGCCCTTCCGATGATTGCGCGCTCCTTCAGCGATCGCTCGGTCCCTAAGCGCCCACATTGACCCCTGTTCTGCTCCCTTCCCTCCACGCTGAGCAGAGAACCGCCCTGTCATTCGGGCCGGCGGGACATAAACCCTAACCACGGTAACTGCGTGTACTCTGGTGTGACCTATTCTCTCTCTCACTGAATGTTGTTGTTTGGTGTCTGTCTTGGTTTGGGGTACGTTTTCCTGTAGTGTTGTGCTCTATGCTGCCTGGTTTCACTACCTTTTTGTATCCGCAGTTTAGCTTTTCATAGGGTTTTTTGTGTGCTTTCTTTCGCATTAATCCTATCAGCTTCAAAGGGAAGCTAATGTGTTGTTTGTTTGCGTGGCTTTTGAACTTGATTGGTGTCTGGTTGACGTTAGTTTTTGTCGTTTGGGTTCCTAAGCATGCTATGTTTGAGGGATGTCTTGCTAGTTTTGTTTAGGCTTTAGGCTACTGTCAATTTTTATTTGGCTGTCATGTTGTCTTTTCATTAGTTTGCCTATGTCGTCGTTTTTATAGATGCCTGCAATTTTATGCTTGTGATAAAATAGCTTTAATCATTTCATGCAAAAATATTGCAGTTCTTGTTGTAGTTTAAGTTATGCTATATGAATACTGTATGGGGTAGTGGGCAATAGTAAAGATGATTGCCCGATGTGACGTCTTTGTAGCTCAAAGGTGAAGACCGAAACATGCTTTATTGCCAAAGACGTAGCCGAGGGCAATAATGCTTGTTGAGGTCTTCGTCTTCGCCCGAGGGCTACAGTGGCGTCACAGAGGGAAATATTGTTATTATTACCCCTACCCCATCTAGTATTCATTTTATTACATGGCACACTTCAACTCGTTAACAAATATCATTAAATATGCCGCTGCACAGAAGAAAAAAATTAAAACACACGCGGATTATTAATGCCCGTTGTCATGTGTCACTAACAAAAATATGTATTCCTTCAGAAGGAAATAAAATGTGAAATTTGCAGTCAACAGTCAAAATTATTTCACACCCAGTTGACGTACGAGCCATGTAATAATGGATGTTTTCGCCCATAAAATGTGAATCTGAATGCTGCATTGCTTCAGCTTAACCCGCGCCGCGCAGGGTGGGGGGGGGGGGGGCGAAACGCCCCCTGTTCTTTTCCCTAGATATCTCCTAAACTACTGCAGATATCTTTTCAAAACTTTCAGGGCCCCTCCGGGCATCAATTTTACATGTTATGCCCCCGAAAAAAATGCAAAGGCCGTGATAGATCGGCCACAAATGACGTCAGAATGACGTCATGTTCTGCCATTTTCGACCCGAAATAAGCTTTCACGGGAAGAGCTGTCACACCTACAGCGTTGAAGATACAGAAAAAGTTCAGGACAAAAAGTGTGTAAAATAAGCAAGGCTATAAAAGTACTATCTCGGATTTTTTATATTTGTATTTTGACCCCAAAAAATAAAAAAGTATGCTTTTCACATAATACCCTTAAAACCCCCCAAAAAATCAAATTTCGAAAAAAAAACGTAATATATGGTATAGCCCCTAACGTTGTCGATCGACATGCCAAATTTGAGATCGATACCTCTTTTTGGCCAAGTTATGACAAAAAAAACTTCAAATTTTTAAACTCAATTTTGGCAGTTTTAGACCACGTAGCGCAAAACAAAGACCACCATTAGATTCCCCGTAACGAGCTACATCTAATCGATGCCCTTTTTATCCAAAAATATAATCTTTGAAATTTGGTCTTATTTGACCTAAACTTGACCTGACCTTCATCAGATCGTAAATTAAGTTGGCCGCAATGGTCGCCTGACCCACATAATCACATTTGCTATGTAAAATTGACCATAAACCTTCTGTTATTATATGTATTTATGAGCGTATTATATTTTACGAAATAATTTCACATTTAAGTCGCGTGAATTTTCGTCGTTGAGGACGCAGCGACGTCTCTGAAGTCGGCGGCTGGCCGTTTCTGAAGTCGCCGGCTGGCCGTCAGTGAAGTCGCCGGCTGACCGTCAGTGAAGTCGCCAGCTGGCAGTTTCTGGAGTTGGCGGCTGGCTGTCTGTGGAGTCGGCGATTACAGCCTGTCGGGCGGCAACTCCAGCTTCGGGCCGTTCGGGCGGCAGCTCTGGCTTCTCCAGTCAACCGGGAGGCGTCCCTCAGTAGGTCACCGTCGCTCGGTTGTGGCCCAGAGTTTGAAGTGCTGGGCTTAACTCGGCCGAACCACGTGGTCGGTGACTGGTCGCTCGTCCATTGCAAGCGTTCACTCCATTCTTTTGTCTAAAACAGGACGATACGCCTCCCCTCAAAAGCTGCCGAGGGTTTCTCGAAGCGCTGTCCACTCAGCGTATACCTACCCATCACCACCTACTGACTTGCCGGGACTCGCTGACGGCCGCCGGGACTCACTGACGGCCGCCGGGACTCCCTGACGGCCGCCTGCTCAGTGACTGCCTACATGGCGTCACAATCGAGGATGAGTGGCGCCGTGAACTCGCTGTGTTTGACGCCCATCGAGTAGGCGGGGGCACCTGACTTTTGGTCGGGGCTGTAGGCGCCCGGGCCGGGCTTGTTGCGGTCTTCCCAGTCACAGCGTGTGAGCGGGCGCATGGTGTAGAGCGGGCCTCGGCTACGGACCAGGCGCGGGTCAGCCGGGTCGTACTTGGCCGGACCAGGCGTCTTGGCGTAGTCGACGGCGAACCCTCCGACGTAAGTCTGCGGTCGCATTGTGTAGCACGGGTTCGATTTTGTGTGCGGTATTTGCGGGCCCATCATGTTGGGCACGGTGTAGGCGCTCGGGCCAGGGCCCGAGTCCCTGCTGCGACTCTGCGTGCGCTTAGACATTGAGTAGCAGGGCGCCCAGCGCTGGTGCGGCACCGGATACTTTTCTGGCGAGTAGGTGCCGGGCGCTGGAGACCGGAACAGCACCCCGTGGTCCAGCCGCTGCCCCATCACGTAAGTGGGGTTGTGCACTTTTCCTGTGCGAATCATGGAAGGCTCAATGCCGTGAGCTGGGCCGGGACTGCAGACGCCGGGACCGTTCTCTCCGAGCCGCTTGGCCAGGCTGTAGGCAGGCGAGCGCCAGCGACGGGCGTCGTGAGGGTCATAGCCAAGTGTCGGCGGCAGCAGGTACTTGGCCGGGCCCGGTCCCCGATATCTTGCAGCAATTGGAATTTCACAGCCATCTTTGTCGGGCATTTTTGGAGACTTGTTAAATTTGCTTCAAGCAATAACTTTCATTGAGAAAGAACAAATTAGAATTGTTTTAAACAAAGTAGAACTTAAAAAGCATTAAATTAAAGGATAGAAACAGCGATGATGAAAGAAAACACGACCGATCAATTACAGAAATTGCAGCAAGGTTTTGCCCGTTTTGCCGGCTAAAACGCGTGCTTATTCGGAAAACATACTTGCGAGCCAAAGGCTTGTTGAGAAAAAAAAAACAAATATAGCTATAACGAAGATGGTTCAAGACAAGCATAAATGGCAAAAGCATGGCAAAATGATGAATTACAAAGCCTCTGTTAACCACTATACCGACGAATGTTTAAAATGAAATCATTTGCAGGAAAAAAGGAAAGTAACTGATTTGTTTTGTTGGGTTAGGCCCTTTCGGTCGACAAGACCATTGCAGAGCCGGAAGGATGATAGGATTTAGGGGGAGACATTGGTCTGGGCAGGCACCCTAGTGAGTCGCCGGGGCTGAGCCCGTCCAGAGGACAGGCCACCCAGCCCCAAGGCACTCACTGCACCCGGCTACGGGGTGCGCTCCCTCAGGAGCAGCGGTGCCGCTCCAAGGGAGCAGCCCGCATGAGATAAAGTTGCCTGTCCAGCCCGGAAGGGGGTTGTGGCGTGGAGGAGAAGGATTTCAGTTTCCTGAGGATAGAAGCACGGATAGGTGAAAAAAGTAACTGACTTGTGTTCCATTAATTGAAATGTGGCAAATCGTCACGCATGCCAAGTGTTCTGTGTGATCGATGCCTTCCTGGACTGATGCTGAACGATCACACGAAGCCCAGCACTGTGTTCGGACACTCTTGGTTATCTGTTAACTTTACACCACTCCCACGTCATAATTCACTCATATCTGTTTCAAACGGCTGGAGTCGTTCTCTAGTGTCGGGCTGCGTTTCGGGCCTTCTGCCGTCGTCACTCGTACACTCCTGCCCTCTGTGCCCCATCTGACGCCGACCGTTCTCCACCACACAGGCCCCCCTGGAGATGTCACTGGTAGAACTACGGACCAGTGACGTATGATGACGTCATCGGAACGAGACGGTGACGTCATGAAATAGCGACGGACCTCTTCAGGCCGTCATGGGTTCTTACTGGTGCAAATTGATGTTACGAGCGACAAGTCGCAATGAATCACTGCAGTCTAAACTAGTGGTGACTACAGCAGCCTGGTGGCTTCCTTGGTAAGGCAGCGCTAGAATGGTTGCAACGTCATGGACCATTTAAGCCGGGACATGGGTTGATTACCGGGCCGGGTTCGGTGGTATTTGTTGGCTACATGGACGACATCGTCTCGTCATGGTATGGTTGAAACGCGCAGTCGCCCTGCCCAATGCCCATGGCGGTGAGCAGCTCTTTGTGACATGAGTGGTGCTATGTGGTAAAGGATACCCCGAAATCATACGGAGGATGGTGCGATTGAAGAGGCTGAGAAGTTGAGAAGGCCAATGAAATGCTACGAAAATCAGTAAGCACCTGTCAGTTATTGATGGTGATTCAGCAGTGTCAAATTATCTTGGCTGAAATCGGCTAGTATTTGTCAACTGTTGACTGGCTTCATGTGGCTTCATTGCAAGGATGCTTTCCTTGTGTCAACCGTAAACGCCAAAGGCATTGCAAGTCCTCGATCAGCTGAAATTGAGGCACCTGAAATCACTCTTCGGATTCCATGGCTTTTCAGCGAAAAGCTGTGGCAATCTGAAATCGGGTGAAGTCCTTTCTCAGCGTGATACCAATCGTTTTTACTCGGTGCTAAACGCTAGTTTGAAACCATCTGTACGACAGGGGATAGGAGATACTATTTTAGCCCTGTACGTCTAACAGTGTTCTCGTTTTGTCAACCTCTAGGACAGCGCACAAGTCTTCCCGGCTGCTTTGTGACCAGTTTCTAATGCTGCTTTTTACACGTGCCCCAATCAGAGTGCCTTTTTATGGCTTGACTCAGTCGCATTGGACTCATCTTGTCAGTGATTGTAGATGGCCGTTGTTAGAATGAATCAACTTCTTGACCGCAATTTGACTGCGACGGAGGTGCTTTCTTGTATTTTTATATACAGCGCATATCCGCAGTCACGACCTCCAAAGGTAGATTCGCCGATGAAATGCCTATTGCCTAGTGATTTTATGTAGATAGCGAAGGACATTCATCAGTATGACCACCGCGACTTATGACGTACAACTTAGTGCCTCGATGCCGTGCAAAGTCGTGCATACACCCATAGTTGCACACTGCTGAGCTGTAGTATGTGCGCAGCGCCCTTCTTGCCTAGCTTTGGTGCACGTCTCCGAACGGAAGATGGCACTTGCTGGGGCGGAGGCCTGGGAGGGAAGAGGGAGACCGAACACTACGGTGCTATTGTCTGAAGTGGAGAGCGAGTGACAGCTGTTTGTCCTAGCATTACGTGCGTGTCTATCCGTGTCCTGTTCTGGTATGAATGACTGTCTGCGCTAGTGTGTGAGCGCCGCTACTGGACGCCGGACAGTGACATCTGAGCACCTCGGACGAACTGTTTGCTCCAGAAGTTGGCCGTCCGGCGCTCCTGCCGACGTGTGTATGTCTGTCTGCCGGCCGGTGAGCCTGTCAATAAACCTGCGTCCCTGGGATTGGTCGACGGACTGTGCCGGGCGCGCACCAATCAGCGAATGTTTGCGTTCCTAACGAGAGCCGGAGGTAACTCGGTTAGTGCCGGCCGGCCGCCGGCCCGGGCTCCGTGGGTAGAGTTTGTACCGGTGGAAGGGGGAGAGGGGAGGGAAGGGGGACGTCCGCTCCGTGTCCGGTACTTTGCAGTGAATTGGGACTTGCATTACTCCCTGCTGTAAGCTAAGGGAGAGTTGTTCGCTCAGTTCTATGGGAATAATGAAGTGGAAGATCTTTATTGGGGAACGTCACGGCGCGAATGTCAAAGCTTTGGCTTTGGAGGGTGCCAATGAACTTTGGGAGGTGCCAGGTACATATATGTGTTGCTTGGTGCCAGGTGCCCTTTCGTTTTTTTTTTTTTTTTTTTGCTGATGTGTTCCAAAACACAATACTGACTATGAGTAACTAGCTGTCTTCGCATACCCATCTTTCTCTTGTCAATAACTTTATTTTTCATTAATTTGAACTTGTTGCACCTTATAGGTCGCTTCATGCATGTTTCAGATCACCATTACGTAAAGCAGTCCATTAGTTTATTGTCCGAAGCAGTCTCTCTGTCTTTCTGGGCATCCGTGTGGGTGGACATGACCTTTGGAGTTGAACGCAGTTCGTAGGTTAGCCGGGACTTAGCTGATAGTCGGCAGCTCCAGTCACTGGCACGCTACTGAACACAGTTTTGATCTCTGGTCATTTCACTTCTCGGCTCTTCCTCTGTGAGGGATGGTTTCTCTCCCCTCTCTCTCTCTCTCCCCGCCCTCTCCCTTCTGTCTTCACTCTCTCTCTCTCTCTCTCTCTCTCTCTCTCTTTCTCTCTCTTTCTCTCCCTCCCTCTTCTGTCTATACTCTTTCTTTCTCCCCATGTCGCTCTCTCTTCCTTCCCTCTTTCCCCCTCTCTTCTCGATACACCACAGAACGGCCGTATTCATCAGAGTCAGACCTCAGTGGCAGCGACACCCTACCCCATCTCCTCCTCCGACCGTCCCCCCTCTCTACCTCTCCCCATCGCTCTCCCCCTTCCCTCTCCACTCTGTCTTTGCGTGGTGACTGCTACGGTGACCATCATCAGCATCCATTACCGTGTCCTCCGTCCCCGCTCTGTCGTAGAGATTAACGATACTCTGTTCTGAGTGCTGGGTGAGTGGGATCTGTATTCCCCAGAGCTGTGTGGTTCTGTGGTGAACGTTTACAGAGGCAGTGGACCGTTGTGGCTTTTTTGGTGGCGGTATGACGATTGGCTTTGAGCTCCTGCTGTGTAATATGAGGACTTAACATGATGCGAGCGAGGAAGTGATGCTTTTTGTACCTTTGTGGATGGTGGTTGATAGATTTCCCGTTATAAGTGGAGCCCCATCGATTTTGACAGAATTGCTTGGTGAGTTTGAATGTTAATGTATTGTTTAAACTTTGGTACATTTTCATCCGAAGACGTCTTACTTCGCTTTCATGAATGGATAAGGTAGTAGGTACAAACGTAAGTGCAACATTTTCTTGGTCCGTTCTACATGAATAGTTGATAGGATCATCTTCCACGACATGGTGAACATGCTCATTGCTCAATAGATAGTGGTGCTCGCCCCGCCTTCTGTCAAGATAATATGCCACGATTTATCAATGGTCTTCATTGATTTGATGTTACACATCCTGCGCTCATTTTCTCAGCACTGGGATACGAACGGACCATGATCAAATACACACTTCATTGTTAATTTGCTTTAAATGCGGATACCAGCTGTTGGTTTTCGCACCCCTCGTTTTATATCCTCAGTCGCCCGGTCCATTGACAAGTCTCACCATCGGTAACTTGGCACCCGTGTGATAGTTCCATGATCACTCTCTGCGCTCCCACGCCCTTACCGCGGTGTGTCGTCCGCCATAAAATCCACCGCGAGGTCCCTTGCCGACCGGCAGCGCGCGGCTGTCACTGGGAGGCTGCCGGTCCCGCCGTTCCCATCGCTCGCAGGGGTACCGGACAGGCTGGCAGGTGGCCGCGTATTGTTGTGGTGCCGGCAGGGACGGCGGCGGCGCAGGGACGGCACACGCCACCGCCCCCGCCGCCGCCGCCGCTAGTTGCTGTAGAGAGGGTGGCCTGTGCTTCGGTTCTGCAGTCAATCAGTCGCCTATTACTGCGTGCGGCCTGAGGGTAGGCCTGGCGGGCAGGCAGGGAGGAGCGATGGAGGGGCAGCGTGGACCGAGACAGGGGGATCTCGGTGGTGGGGAGAGGGGATGAGGGGGGTGATGCTGATCTGGCGTCGAACTGGTGATCTGAATGCGACTGGATAATGTCACGTACTGATGTGCCAGGAAGGGAGGGAGCGGGCGATGGTATCTTGCGGTGCATTTCCTAATCATTCGCCGGAGGTTGAAGCGTGTCCTTCTGTGGTCGTGTGAGCTTGCTGCTCGATCAGTGTGAGCTATTAACAGCGCACCCGGAAAACGTACGCTGCTGTAGCACGTCTGGCCTGGGGTCGCGTGCTCAAATCTGGCTTGACGTGTCAGCCGCCACACCTTTTATTTTTCCTTTGACGGTGGTAAGCAGACGGTCGGCATTATTTGTGCTTACTGATATCTATTGTAACATGACAATGGACTGCTTGTTCTTATACATACGACTTGTGCATTTTGAGTTAAAGCACTCTTTGTAGTTACATTCCTCGATTCGTGTGCCTACTGCTCGGTTTGCAATCGCTGCACACGAATCATTGAATTTTTTACGTTTACTTGCCACCGGCGTGGGAGTCTGAGGTCTGGAAAATGATCAGAATTCAGTCACCATCGCGAGAGCGCAATGCGCGGGACATAAAAGGAATCTTGCGAGGCACCAACTCTTGCCAGCTCGTGTCGTCTTCAAGCCGCATACCAATGAACAGGAGTGCTACTTGGTGTCAACGTAAAAGAAGGAAGAACAAATGGCCGGTAAATGTTTCAACCTATACAGCGCCACAAATTCTCAATGCTGTTTCGTGAGACCAAAGCTACATCAATTGTAAGTTATGTATTGCTTATATCGTTCCTAGATGTCTTAGCTATAGGAGATGACGCCAGCATTTTAATCATGAAGCTCGTTAAACAAAACAAAACAAAAATGTTTACAGATCAAGTCCTTTTTAATATTATTTCTGTCGTTTTGTAATCGTTCCGTTTATCCTCCTATCTCTTCAGCCACATTTCTGGCCCTCGCTGGGGGCTGCTCCCGGCACCATTCAACATAACATTGACGCCTGGCGTCGGGCGGCGGATAAATTTTTAATTAAGCCGCCGCTCGGATCGTTCCGGGATCCCCCTGCTAGGGCGCACAGTAATCGTCGTAATTGGTCTCCGATGAGACAAGCCAACATCGGATGTTATCCGGGTACCCCCCCCCCCCCCGTGCACCCTGCGGCGCTCCCCAGCCGAGCCGGTCCCCTCGCCAGGGCCTGGAGCTGAGCCGTGATCAATTTACCGTACTGTAATTCATGAGAGCGGAGCGTCGCTTCAGATGAGCCGTGCATTCGGCACATCATGCATCACAAACGCCCGGCTGGCTGGCTCGTTCGGGCCGCGTGATTTTGTTGAGGGCCGCTCGAGCTGTAATGTGTCTATTTTGAGCGGCGACAACGATGAATGACAGTTGGGCGTCCTGGATCGAAAAGATGACAAGAAAAAAAAAACGTTGTTGGAAGCATGACGATGTGGCTCGGCTGTTGGCTGCAGTCTGCAACCTCTGTGTTCATGTCAATGAATCACTCCGTCATATGTTATGCCATTTTTCAATACTCTTCGCTGAGATATGCACTCATTCAGGTAATTTTTCAATAGCTGAATGGAACAAGCTATAATTATGCCACATATCTCGATCGAAGCAGTAAACAAAGTCAGTGCTGGAGCAACCGATTTCCATTCGCTTTTCAACCGTTCACTCGTGGCAGATCCGATCCTTTGCCTCCTTTCGGACTCTGGATATATCCCCGTCTTCCATCTTTCCCGATGTCCTCCCACGGTCTGTCCTTGCCGGGGAAAACGGACACAGCGGACACAGTGGACGTGGAGGACACAGCGTAGGTCTGAGAACGGTGAGCGGCCTATAGCCACCTCTGTTTAGCTGTATTTCTCCGGCGGCGCGGCGGCCCGCCCCCGTATTCAGTTGCCTGGCTCCAATTGGCGTCTCCCGGCGGAACTGTAATCCAGTTAGCGGGGGCCGCGCCGGGCCGCCACGTCCCGTGTTTAGCCCGTATTGACTTTTGGCCGCGAACAAAGGAGATGAAAGCGCCGGCCGACGGCGGCCGAGGAGGCGGAGGCGGCGTGCTGCCTTCCAGCAAGGGTCCACAGTGTCACACCCTGAGTGGAAAGATGCGTCGTACGAGGCTTGATGGGCAATGAGTCGCCTTTGGTAGTGTTCGATGGTGTCGCCAAAGTGCGCCAGGATTGTAGTCGGCCACTCTGGCTGATTCAGTGTCGCAGTGGAGAGGTACGTGCTGCGACAAATCTGATTTCGAAGTCGGAATGATCATGGTGTCCGCCGCCTGGTAACTAATTTTGGAATGACTACCTAAAGTATGGAAAGTTGTGAAGTTAGGGTTACAATAATAAATTGTACTCAGATAAAAGCAAACAGAATGGCGCTTGAAAATTTATCCTTCAATGTGCCATAACAGCATTTCTGTTTTTATGTTGTTAATTTTATCATCACGCGTAGACAAGTCGGCGTCATGATTGCCCAGTTCGCTTTGGCTGGAATTGATGTTTACTAAACGGCTTTACAAAGCGATTTTTGAAATGATAAGTTCTCACCCATATGAAGCTAATCGTTATCCTTGAACAGTCCACACATCCGTAATTCCACTGCTGAGATGAAGGCACCACCGCTCTCGCCACACGCTGGCTCGCCTCCGCCAGTTCCGGCGGTATCCCCTCTCATCCGCGCCTCCCCAGCTCGTCCGAGCCCCGGCCGTCGGGCCGCCGGCGGAGTTGTGAATAATGAGGCAGCTATCGGAGGTGACACCCGACCCTTGGCCAGAGCGATGGC